TCAGATGAAGGGTGGCTGTTTTACTGCTTCAGAGGTTTCTGTTGCAGCACACCCAAAATTAAACCTCCTCCCTGGGGTGGCTGTGTGGTGCAGAGGTTAGGACTCCCTGAACCGCAGCGTCCACAGTGAAGTGGCACCAGGCACGTTTGCAGCATCTTTCTCTCCTTTCTGAATGGAATATAAATGCGTTTATACTAAATATTAAGGGATCCAACGAGGGAAATCTGCAGTACAGATTATATTTTAAGCTTTTTTTTTCTGCAGTAAAGAAGAGACACATTTGTCATAATCTTGGAAGAATAGATTTGTTAGGCTGCACACTGATGAAGAACAGTGTTCATCAAGGTCTTCATCAGGCAAATAATCATGTAGGCACCAACAGGCTGTGTATATGACTGCAGGGTTTCCTTAGGTCTTCAAGCTTAGGCGCTTGTAACATCAGCTAACTAGCCTCCTTGGCTAACGTCACTGTGTGTTACTTTGTGCTGTCTCTGTTACCACTCACAAAAATGACTCCCAACAAAGTTCTGGCCTACGTCACGTGTTCTCTGTGGAGGCTGAGCTTATCTCTGGCTGTAGCTACCGCCCTGAATAAACCTGTCCTTTGACATCTTTACTTATTCAGGGTGCAGGAGATTCTGGTTTTCTCCTGCACCCGGTTTGTGTTGGACGTGCACACATTGTTATGTCTTATTTTTCTGCAGTAAACATTTTAATTGCCATTTAAATAATAAATTTTAATGTAGAGCTACTGTAAACAAATGATGTAGCTCTGTCAGAGCGGGAGCCATTAGCATTGCTTGTTGGCAGATACTGTCCTGGCACTGTTGGGTTTGTTATCTAATTAGGGACATTTTGATCCCCAGAGTGGATTCACAAACCAATGAGCTTTATGTAAAGTCATTAAAATTAGCAGCTTCTAGCAGCTGCAACATTAAAGCCATGTACACTTAATGTACTGTATGAATAATTATAATCCAGCAGCATAATGTGCTTTATTTTGAGACTGTGTACATTTACTTTGAGTACATTTTGTTGATCATACTTTTACACTGTTATTTAAGTAACAATTTGACTTCAGGACGTCCAGGTTCATGGTGTCTTTATTATCCCTGGGGGGTAATTTGATTCACAGTCGGCAGTATAAATAGTCAAACACATAACAACAATACCAGACTCACTGTTTCAAGTGTTGTTTAAAGGGGCGATAGCAACAGGAGCAAATCATCTGTTCGTTCTGCATTGCAGCGGTTTGTATCGCACTCCGATGGTAGCAACATAAAATCACCCCACAAGGGACGGCTCGGAGAGGCCAGGGACGGCTCGGAGAGGCCAGGGACGGCCATGGGCGGCTCGGGGTGGCTCTTCTCCCTTCAGGGACCTGACCTTATATAGGTCATTTAAGGATGTGGACATTTACCTGTGACAAGTGTTTCTGCACTGTGGCACTGCTGCTTGTATTTAAGTAAAGGATCCAAGTACTTCTTCCGCCACTGCTCTTAGTGCCTTGCTTCACAGGGAAGGGAACCGTCAAACAAACTATTGCCAATATTTGGCTTTGACCAGAGTATAATGAAGCTAACTGCTGTTTTGTCAGTCTTATATGAAAAACTCTTGCAGGGTTTTTGTTCTCACTGTGTCGTTTTCATTTATCCTCATAATGTAGGCATTGTGAAACCCTTTGAGTTTGTAGCTGTGATTAAGACTTATGCAAATAAACTTAACTCACAGGGAGTCGATGCCCCCAGTGTTTATATCCTTCACTGTTACGGCTTTTAATCATGCAGAAGCATGGCAGTGTGACTCTTGAGTTGTGTAGAAAGTCGATTTTTATTTAGAGGGAAGGAAACCTCATCCTAATGTGTATGTGCTCTCATGCTCTGGCCTGCTGGGGTTTTTTTTTTTTTAAATCAGCAGTCTTCTTGTCACATGCTGAGCTCACCATCTGCCGTTACTGCAGCACCATCAGCGTCCTTAAAAAGTCATTGCTGTATTCTTGATCACCTCCCCTCTACTGGGAGATGGCGAGGTTATTAGAATATGATCCAGCGTGGGGAATTAATTAAAACTGCGTTAGTGTGTAGAGCCATGGCTACGACTGTCGGTGCCGGTTGCTGCCTTTGTGCCACGTGTTTCACTATGTGCTGTTTTTTCTCTTTTTGTGGCTGAACTCCTTCACTGTCTGGCTCAGCTGTCAGGTGTTTCACGCCGGGGTTATGTAAGCCTGACTTTTTCTCCCTGTCTGTTTGGAAAGGCTGCATTTTGCACCTGAGTTGTGTCCGAACAGTTTTAGATTTTAGGTTGTTAGTAAGGTTTGACACTAGAAATGATAGTTTTCTAAACCAAGGAGAAAAACAAAAGGGGGGGTCTTTCCAGTGTGCGATCTGGTGACCTTGTGGTTTAGGCGAATAACAGGCTGTGGAACCATCATGTCCCCGGTTCAGCTCGTTGCATTTTACTCCCCGTTCTTTCAGCCCGTTGTCGTGCCTCTGTGACACCCGTGGCCATAGACATTGTAGTCGGGTCGTCTGTCCGTCTACAATGTCACACTCTCATGAACATGATGTCTTAGGAACATCTTTCTTCAAATCTTGCACAAGCAGTTGGACTCGAAGAGGAACTGATTAGATTTTGGTGGTCACAGGTCCCGTTCTGCTGACTTTGACTGTTTGGCAGAGGTGTGCATCTGCAAAGCGGCATTCTAGTTCTTATTCATATCTACACTGTGAGCTATCCAGTAAAAGTGTTAAATGTCTAATTCTTTTAAGTTTCCACACTTTAATTTATCATAGTGCTTTTTAATTTCAGTATTTTGTTTCTATTTTAAACAGCATAGTGTCTCAGCCACACTTTGCACAGAGGTGCAGAGCTGCAAAGTCGAGTATTTGCTTCCCTGTACTTAAAATACAAAGTAAAAACACTGAAGAGTGTTTTGGCAAATTTAGGCTTAGACTAACACAGCATAGTGCGGTCACACTGAAGGTCTTTACTGATGGTGAAAGAGGCAGTGTTTGGGTTGGTCATGGTCAGAAAACACTGTCTGACAGATGAAGTTAGTCACAGACTAACTTCATCCTAACCCCCAGACTAACCCCGACACTTAAGTCACATTTCAGATTTGAGCTGAGAAGCAGCAGAGGCGTGGCGTGAAGAGTGACGACGATATTTCATCAGACCTGTGGCAGGAACGCAGCTCGGTCTTCTCCCTGTTTCTCAGTGTCAGAATCAGGCTTGTTAACATTCATGTGCCGAGATCTTCGTCACTCACACAGCAACTTCCTCCATTATTGAGCAGTTGTAAATGCTTTGAAGCGACTGTTTGGGGAGTTTTGGTTCCAGAACAGAGCAGGAGCGTCTCAGCAACTGGCCCAGTAATTGTTCCATCATATTGATCAACATCCTTTTTCCTGATGTTTCTCTTCAAGCAGCTGCACTCTGTGTGTTTATTTTAATGGAAAGTTAAAAGGATTCTGTGAGCAGATGAAACTTACAGCGAGTAACGCAGAGCTGCAGCAGTGTCGGTCTGCTCAACTCTGCCGCTGAAAACCGGGTCAAGGTGATGGGGAATCTAAGTGATGCTCAGCTCGACTCCCCCGAGATGTTGTACAGCAGCGCTCCTCTCTCTTCCGCTGCCGGCACACGGTCACGCACAGGGTCTTACTGCGTGGGCAAAGCTGCAGCTTCATCTCATACATTTAATAATGAATATATATTCTGAGTAATTTAATTAGTGCGAGTCTCTGGCCTGATAACATTCAAACTGTTTCACAGCAGCACCAGAACGAAAGCAACGCTGTTAATATTCAACATGATGCATTTGTTTTGTGACAACAGTTGAATTCCCCTTTAAATCAGGGAATTACACCAGTAGTGAAAAGGATGTTTATTCATAGATAAATCCACAGGGTTTATTAGGCATCTGTTTCGAACGAGTCCTGATTGTGCTGGAAATGACAGAAATGTAAAACTATGGGACCAGTTAAACACAACTGGATGTGAGAAATGGTGAGTTTGTCGTCATCACAAAGGTGTTTGGTGGGTGAACAAACTAACGTATGAAGTTGTGAAAGCTGCTCAAGTGATTCTTAAACTGTGAAAAACACAAACCTCCACATATCAAACAGGCAGTTGCAGAGTTTTCACAGATGGAAAAACCCTTCTTCTAACCTTGGCTATGCGGCAGGAGGGGCTGATTTACAGACCGTACTTTGACAACACAGGGTGGAGAAGCACAGGAGGCTGTAGGTAGCAGAGGGTCATGGAGGGGGGTGTAGCTGAGAGACACCATGTCCTGTCTCACTGTCACTGGGGTTATCAGACTGTATGTAAAGTCTTATTGCACCTTTAACAAAGGTTGCACGGTCTCAGCCTTCTATCAACAAATGTTTGTTTCTGCCTCAACGCAACTGTGTCCGAGGGCACAAAGCAAGTGTTGAGTCCTGAGGAATGGTTGGGGTGCGGCCTGACCTCGACCCCGTCTGACACCTTTGGGATGAAGTGGGACACCAGCTGTGAGCCACATCGGTGTCAGACCTCATAACTCTGGCGTTTGAATGCAGGGAACAAAAGGCAGCAAACCCCACAAAGGTCTGGAGGCTGCTACAGCAAGGAAGACGAGCGACTGTCCACATACTTTTGGCCATATAAGTGTGGATTTGCTGAACATAATTTAAAGTAAATCTTCAGCAGCTTCTCTCTGAGCTGGAATATAAAATGCTTGTTCAGTTTGTCACTTCCTGTTTAACAGATGCTAAAAAAGACACTTCTCTGATTAGTTATGAAAGATGAAACACAATGGGCGGACGTCTGGCACTGGGACGTTGGCACATTTTAAGCATTTAGCTGACGCGTATTCAAAGCAGGTTAAGCTTTAAGTCCTGGATCACCTGCATAATAAGTAACAAAGAGTATAAATACAAAGGCTAAAGCCACTGTCTCAGTAACAGTAGGTTAAGGTCAGGATGTATTCGCTTTAGGTGATTTTTCTTTTCTTCCTACAGTGAGACTGTGACATCCGAGAGGCGTCTGACTGCATGAAGAGGACCCTGGTCCTCACCTAGACCCCTCCCACGACCCCCCACTGCCTGGACATGGTAAGCCTCCTGTGCATGTCTGCTGGTTGTTTATGTTGTGCACTTTAAATGTTATGTTGGCTTTTAAAAAGTCTTAAATACAGTTGTACTAAAAACAGGCCTTAAACAATATTAAGTTGTCTTAAATTCAGGTCGGATGGGTCTTAAATGTTTTAGTCACTTCGAATTTCTGTAGTCTGCCAGACCAAAGCAGGCAGCAGAAGATGAGTTTCTCATTATTTTAAAGAACTGTTGATGATAAAATGTATTTATTTGTAGTTTGAAACTGTATGTGTTTGTTTCCGCCCATGAATGCCCCATTCACATTCATGTCCAACGCCACAGTCGTAACACCACAGTGTGAACTGTAGCTTCTGGTAGAAAAGGCATGTTTTGATAGTTTAAGTGGCGTCCTTTCTCCTGTGTATATCTCATTTGAAGTCTGTGGACAGTATGTGCTGCTTATCTGCTGGCTCCACAGATGCTCAGTTCCCTTCATCTACAGTAAACCAGGCTGGTTTCACACCATGAAAACGTGTTTCTCCTTTTACATTTTACAGAGGAAAGAAAATAAACACATTTTTTTTCTGAAGTTTGTCAGATTGAACGTCCACCAACCAACACTGCAGTGCAATTAATTAAAGCAGTGAGCATCATTATCTTGTAATTGCGGCTCAAGGCTGAACTCCCAGCTGTCTTGTAGGCAGCAAATAAAAGGGACCGGGCTGATGTGGAGCGGGGCCGGGATCCAGCCTCAGTGCTGATGCTGTGGAACTCTTAATCTTTCATTTAGATCTTGTTAATGTTTATTTGTGTGTTATGGCTGTTGACGCTGCCTACACTTGCCTCTGCACAGCCTCAAATGCCCCTGGCAGTTCAGCGAGAGATTAGCTGGGTCGTGATGAATGACCCTCACAACTCCTGCACGAGCCCCCGGGACTCGTGGCCATGAATTATTGAAGTGCCATCATAAATAACTCACCATAATGAGGGGTCCTTACGCTGCAGGCAGGGAGAGAGGGATGAGAGTAGAAGGGGGAAAAGAGACGATCAGAGGTGAAGAGGAAGGGATGATGAGAGCGATAGCAGTTTGACCTTGAACTGAAAGCCTGGCATGATCCTCGGTCGGCGAAGCAATACAGTCAGGCTTGTAAGAGCAGGCTCCGAGCTAATGTTGCACATCGGCCCCTTTTTCTCTGCACTGAGAGAGATGGGCTCTGACCCTAAGTGCATGTCATTAATGTTAAACAACGGCAGCTGGATCTAGGCCGCACACAGACTGGCAGCAGCACAGGTGGCTTCAGGTGCCGCTGTCATTGTGCAGGGTGCGACGAGCGTCGACACCAAAAACAAGAATCTGAGGAGGAAAACACCAGGCGTCAGAGTAAAAGCTTTGTTCAGGTTCAGAGGAATCTGTTTGGCTTTGGGTTGAGTCTGCTTCCTGCAGCCAGAGAACAGTCACCAGCTTCACACTGGCATCTCTGCAGGCATCCAGCACCGGCATCGCTTTGATTATGGAGGTACATTAAAGTTACTGGTGCCATATGAGCCACAATACCCTTTACACTCCTCTGATCAGCTTCCTAACATCCTGAGATCTTAATGTGTCACGAAAGGAGACTGTGCATCTGCTGTTGGAGCTCTCTCTCCCCGAGCTTCTCAGGTCAGCAGACACCGTGCCCACTTTAAAAACAGGACTGGAAACATTCATATAGGAAGGCTTGTCTGTGATAATGTTTACATATGATCCCCACGTGCATATCTGCATGTTTGTGTATGCAGATGCACATATCATGTTTTTGTATGATTAATTCTGTTGTACTGTCTGCATGTTGTGTGCACATGTCCATTTTTAGGTCTGGTATCTTTACTTTTATCTAGTTTATTCTATTTTTATAGATTTTTTTTGGCTATTTAATGTTGTGAATCACTGTTTTGTGTATTAATATTGTTATGGTGCTGTTTGATGACCATAAATCCAGTTTTCTGATCACGTCAGTATCGATGACCTTTACAACATGGCAGCTGGGTGGCGGCAGACCGAAGTTAAACAAGCTGCTGAATATATGAGTCATTCCACGGAAACTGGACACATTGGACCTTGAAAGATTTTCATCACAGCCAAACATAAAAATGTCTGTTTCATAAGTTAGACCTGCAGTAAAACACACTCAGGCGCTGTTTATTTTATTTTTTTACCTGTTGTATAAAGATACCAGAGTTGGTTTGTTCCACCCCGTTACAGGACGGGACGGCAGATAAACCGATTCTGTGACGGGGCAGGAAAATTCCAAGTGGCCAAAGTTAACAACACACTTAGCAGCTAAACGCAACAATCATGATTTTATAGAAATCCATTGTGTTTTTTTGGGCGATGGGTGGATATGTTATGCTTGACAGACGAGGTTATGAAAGATAAAAATGTTAAAGAAAACGTGTCGTCTTCAAACCCTTAAAAGATGTTGTTTCCTCTTAGTGACGTTACTTAATGGAAGGGTTCAGTATTTTAGAGCAGAAGTGGTGTGATGGGACAGAACACGAAACGTATTCTGTTATCACGAAAGCCATGATAACTGGTTTAAATCATAAAATGATAGTCGTATCACAACATTAACAGCATGGCAGTGTGTTGATTAGCATAGATTAGTTGATTAATGGATATAGTTGAAAATTATTTATTTTGACCCTTTACACTGATGTTTGTGAATCTAGAAACCTGATGACTGATGTTGTTGTTTGCTTTTGCCAAAGTCAGATAAATATGATGAAGCCACACCAATTTAGTCCCAGTAAAATCAGTACGTTGCTTTTTCAGTGGTTACTCTTGTTCACTTGTAACTAAGAATAAGGTCTTTTTTTATTTTCTAGGAGCTTTGATCAAAATATTTATCATGGTGAAAAATTAGACGTGGAACTTAAAAACATACAAAGAGCTTAATAAGTACATGCTCAGTGACTCAGTGACGCTGATAAATGATAACGATGGGGCAGATAGATTGTTGTAAAGGCCACAGGTTTGCTTTTTACAGGAGCCCGATGACGTCCATTAGTGGGTACGTTTCCCCTCTGAACGTCCTTGATCCTCACTGTGACCCTCCACTCGCTCACTCTGTGTGATTCATACTGGATATGAGCATCAGCTGGAATGAAAATGTGGCTGAAATAAAAATAATGTCTGAACCCAGAGGTCGTTCCGATCGTTTGCAAACGACGACCGCCATGTCATGGCCAAGCATGCCAGCATCTACCCAGCCCCGGAGGAGCTGGAGGCCGTCCAGGCACTGGTGTCCACTGTGGAGGGAGCCCTGAAGAAAGTCTCTGATTGGATGGATGGCCTCAACAAATCCTCAGGGAAGACCTCCACCAGTGATGAGGCTGGGGACAACATGGCGGAACAAGATGCTGCTGAGATCAAGTATGTTGAACTGTGTGTGTTCGTACTGTGATGATTAGAAGCACTGACCCGACTATTGGTTACACACTGATTCTGTCCTGAGAACGTCGCCGCTCTGGTTCGGGCACAGTGTTTTACTGCAGTTCAGTGGGTGTGGGTTCACAGTGTAAGATGAAGTGGATTTATTTCTCTTCCAGTTGATTTTTGTACCCTCAGCCGTCTCCTCAGCGCAGCACCAGATCCTCTCTCTCATAAAACTGTGCTCTCCTGTAAATCTTCACCAGGAAGATACGTGTTATGATTCAACGATCTCAACAAACAGTCGCAAATTCTCAACATTTGGCTTGTGGCCTGAACATCCACACAGCGCTTTTGTATTAATAAATATAAAAGTACAGTGCAGAGCTGGTTTTGTGCAAATAGTACACAACCCAGACAAGCAAAGACAAATATCTTGTGCTGTAATGTGGGTGTAGGTTAAATCAGTGTGATTGAGTCGTTTCAGATCCAGAACATCTTGAGCCCTTGTCAGTGGCTTGAGAAGAATTTGACGTGAGGAGTGAAAGCACAAGATTAACAGCAACATGTTGAGCAGAGCGACAGGCAAAGCAGCAACGTTATAGATACTTTAACATCTGATGTAATTTATGGAGCTTTAATATTTGATCTCTTCTAATTTGGCATCGGCTCAGAAGCCTGAACCAAATCACAGTTCCACTGTCCACGTAGCGACTAGGGTCTGTAAGGAGCCTCGTGATGGACATTTGGTAATCTGACCATGAGCAAGACGTCGGCCTGTGGTCATAAAGTGTTCACTGAACATGTGGATTGACTGCAGGTGTGAACTCATCAGCAGAGGATGTCGTATAAACACTGTGCACTGCTGTTTATGCCCATTTAGTATGTGACGGCCTTTATTTACCTGGTGTTTAGCCACAGACATCGATTGATGTGCGTGTCTGCCATTAAGGAAGGAGAATGGGCACAGATCTAGTATCAGACCTGCAGATCTAACACGTCCAGTGGCAGCACATTTCGACAACATAGCAACCAGTATTAGTTCTATAAGATCCACTGGTACTGAAACCATTTTTTCAAGGTGTGGGGATCAAGAGAAGAAACTTCTCCAGAGGGAGGCATCTTGGATTTATACACTAAACACATAGTCACCACGGGGAGTGAGGACTGTGACATCAGAGCTTTTCTGTAGGTTGAAGTTTGTTTGATTATAATGTTTATGAAGTGAATCTTTCTGTAGGATCTGATCTTTGTTTATTTAGTGGTCACCAAAGTTGCGTATGGACTGAAAGGAACATTATGGATACCTGTGACTGTTGGCCTAATAATAACCAGTTAATAGGATTTGTCAGTTTTTACAGTGTATAGATGTGTGTTTGTGTTTTGTATTGTAATGTGGTGGGTGGGTGAGGAAACTGGGGTCATATTGTTATTGCTCTGTTGTTTTTGTGCTGATTGTTGTGGGTGTGGTGTCGCACCTGTCGGGTCAGAACACAAGCTGTAAACACCGGAGACTTGGTGTGGAAACGTCGTGGGCGTGGCCGATTGGAGCATCGAGTGTGTGGGCCTTTTTGGTCTACTAATACACAAATATGCTGAGTTCTATAGAAAGAGTTGGTTGCAAAGTCTGTACAAGAGAACACAAGTTTGTTGATGCCTGTAAACTGTCACTCACTACTTCTGGGGCAGGTTTTCAGTAACTAAATCATTTTCTATGTATTGGTTTATGTTATCTGCATAAGTAAAAGACAGAGTGAGTTTTTTTATTTTATTGTGACCAAAAATGCAGTTTTGGTCGATGTTGATTAAAAACCAGAAGCTTGAAATGAGGATGAAAATGCATGCTGCTCCAGCTAATGTTTCCAGACAGATACAAAGAGAGCTGAGGTGATCTATCTGTAAAATAAACTGATAAATTAGTTTAACACTTCGCAGACAGTGTTCAGCAGCTGTTCTCTGGCTGTGTGTTATCACCTGTAAAACCTCTGCATCTGAAGCCGGCTGTTGTCCATCTGCCTTCAGGCCTGACGGGACCTCGGTGCTGTGCGGGGTGACGCGTGTCGGCCTGGTGGCCAAAGGCCTGCTGATCAAAGGGGACATGGACCTGGAACTGGTGCTGATGTGCAGAGAGAAACCCACCAAACTGCTGCTCTACACCATCAGCGCTAACCTCCCCCTGCAGATCCAGGTACGCTCAGCCACACCTCCAGCACTGTGTGTCCAAGCGAGCCGTGAAAGCACAGCTGAGAAAGCGGCATCAGGGTGCGGTGGGGGGTTAGAGGGGCGACTTTGTAATCCCAGCTTCAGTGGAAATGCTTGTCCACAGAGGACATCAGCCAGTCGTTTATGTGTGATGAAAGTGCAGGAGCTTTGCTGGTGACACTGTAGGAGAGACAGCGACACCCTGAAGACGAGCCGGACATGAGGATAATAATAATAATAATCGATCTGATGCAGGAGCTTGTGTTCAGTGCAAAGGCGCATGTGTAATGAGCAGTACATGCAGTATTTCATATAAACAGTCGTATTCATTGTGACATATTTGGTCATAAGACACCGTTTATCTCTCTGTTCGATGTAGCATATAGGTTATATGTTTACATTAGAAATACTAGAAGGTAAACATCTTTAAGAAGTAAATAAAATAAGTAGATAGGTTTGAATCGAAACACGGAAACAGGACAGGACACAAACATGTTCTGGATTATTTGAAGTTTTACGTTCGACAGAATTTGCAAAATAAGAGTTAAACTGAAATTAAAAAGCAGAGTTAACTGAGATCTGCTTCCCCACTGAGGTGCACGTGCTACATGTAGTGCAGTAAGAGCTATTTTACTCTCATAATCTTTTTTTAGAATATTTTCTTTACCACAGATGCCAGAAGTGCACCAACACACCTTTAGTGTTCACAGGAGGAACAGACCCCCGAGGAAGAAATGATGTATGTAAACACATCATGCCAGCTGAGTCACATGTGGGCTAGAGCCACAAAATTATCTACTCAGCCAAGTAAAAGTGAACTAATGGGCCACCTCAAATCACTGAGTGAGACTCTCAGGGTCTAAATCTGTCCTCCTTTCCCCGTCGTTGGCAGCCGTTACCCCTGAACACCAGCAGCGGTGGAGTAAAAAGCAGTCCAGAGCTTCTGTAATGTCAGCATCTGAAATGAAACCATGTTAAAAATACCACTGATGACTAATGGTTTCTCTGCAACAAAACCATTACAAACATACAGATGGGTGACAATCTGACCAGCAGAGCCGAGTCTCCAGAGCCTTGTCAGGTCTCCTCTGTCGGAGGAGGAAACCTCCTCCTTCCAAACCAGATCCCCTCAGTGTGTCTGACCCGCTGTGTCCAACCCACTGTGTCGTCCTCATGAAGCCACTCAGTGACCTAGAGCTGCAGCCATGAGTCAGTTCACTGGTAGAAAATGAACCTCAGCTATTTAGAAGCAACAGTCACCGACATGTTCTGGTTCCACCTTCTTTAATGTGAGGAGCTGATTCTCATGTCAGATATGAGGCGACAGTGGTGCGATGGGTAGAGCAGTCGCCTCTCAACCAGAAGGCTGAGGGTTCGAATCTCGGTGCCCACGTGTCAAAGTGTCCTTGGGCGCACCCCCCGTTGCCCCCGATGGTTAGAGCCATCGGTTGAGGTGGCGCCGCAGATGGCTGCCTCGGTTCTGTACCGGAAACAAATTCCTTGTGTGTAACATACTTGGCCAATAAAGGTGATTATCTTATCTTAGAATCAGCTGAGTCTCTGTGGATCTGCTGGTTGGACACACGTGGAGACGCCACCTTTGGCTCTGGAGAGTCACAGTGGGACTTTTCCCAGTGTCTGACATTCTGGGGATAAAATGATCAATCAGCTGATTGATCAGTGGCCCCGCTGGTTGTGTTTCCACTCTGTTACTCGTCTGTATCATTTTATTAATATTTCAACTGACCCTTATTAGTTAGTTAGTATCATATACATCCAGACTACATATTTCCCATAAATAGACTCTATCAGCAGATACGTACACCCAGACCCACCTATAAGTGCATGTTTATGTATTAATACAAACACAACTTGTATCTAAACATGTACAACAAACCTAATAAAACATGAAGTTCCCTTTAAAACAAAACTGTCATTATTTGCTCCTCTAATCATAGTGTGAAATCACTGACCGCGCAAACCAAGACTAAGAGGTTATATGGGTTAAAAAAATTCTCTGGGAGAAAATGTTATTTTTAGTTGGTGGGAAACCGAGGAGGTGATGTGAAGTGGATACGAAGTGGCCTGTGACTGAGGCCCTACTTGATCTATCTGTTCTGCTCTGAGGCGCCGTCGGCTCCTGGTCTGTAACATCCCAGATTCTGAGCTACGCAGTTATACAAATAATTCTACCAGCAGATCTCGTCAAATGGGTTTCCACCTGGTTTCCAACGTTCCAGTGTCTGCTAGCTGCCAAAGCAGCACAGACATGCACAGAGCCTAAATGTGCTTCCTGTGCCCCCGTCTCAGTTAATTAGCTGCCGTGCGTGCTTCATCATCGAGGGAGGAAACCATCTGAAGCTCTCATTTCCTGGGCCAAATGAAGAGAGATTGACAGGCTGGGGGGGGTGATGCATGGGGCCTTTTCTCACCCAGACTGGATACAGAGAAAACACTTGAGAACCTGCCGCTGGAGGTAACAGGAATCTCGAGGAGTAACGGGGCAGCTTGGCGTGCTGGGAATTGGCTGGTGATAACAGGGGTGGAAACTCTGGGTGAAGTGTGGAGGAAAGCTGTGTGCAAACAGCCGTCCGTGCCTTTTGCTGCTCTGACAGGCCTGCTTAGCGCTGTCAGATGTGGCTGATACTGTTGTTTTATGTCCAAACAAGGGAACTGCATCAGTAGAATAGAGTCGCATCACGCCACTCTGCTGCGAGGAGTTTGGCTTCTGCACAGAAACATTGCTTTCATTTAGGGATTATTTCCAAATCCTCCACCTCCACATTTATTGTGATGCTTTTATAGTCAGTGGGGGCAGTGGACTCCGCCAGTAACGGTGAAAACCGCTGCATTGAGCAGCTACTGCAGAAAAAATGTTGCTTACCATAAATAGGACTGTTAAAAAAAAGTCAGTGAATCCAACCCTTCCAGTGCAGGTCTGAAAGGTGTTTAAGATGAGCCTGTTTCTTAAATAAAGGCCTGGTTTAATGGAAACAAACTGAATATATTTGGGATTTATTCAACATATGTGCTTAGAGACCTGATGGATGTGATGCTCAGTGGTGTTTTAACTGTAGACCGGTGATTCTACTCCTGATGAGACGTCGTCCAACACAACGCAGCGGTGTGCTGTCCCTTATAAAGAGCAGGAGTCAATGCTGTGATGTGATGTTTGATTCGTGACTAACGTGCAGACTTGCCTTGCAGACAATGACAGAGGACAAGTATGAGGTGCGGTCGTGCCAGCCTGAGGCAGCCATCTGGGTGTGCAGTGCCAGAGACCCCCAGCTCACGCTGAAGATCACCCTCTCCTCCGTAGCCATGAGGAAGGAGCGCAGCACCACAGAAGAAGGTATTGACTCCTCCACCCCCCACCCCCACTTCTTCCTGTGCCTCCTGTTTGGGAAGCTGCTTCCCCTGTTTTTATTTGACCTTTCTATGACTACAGAGGGCTGGGGGGGGCTTATAGGAAATCTATGAAGATATAAAAGTACTGTGAAACCTGAGCTAGAAATGGGACATTCAGGGCAAAACTGGGAAGTTGACACATTTAGAGGGCTGAAAGCTGAAACAGAGGAAAAAGGAGAAGAGGTGCTATGGATCTGGGTCAGTGTGGTGGAAATAGCAGATGGCTGGTGAAGGATATGTTGGGATTGGTGGAAAAGGAGACGTCTGTCTCAGGTGTCCTCTGATATCAGCCTGCATCTCTGACGTGAAAGGTTTCGCAGAGGCGAGGCTGTTCCTTCTGGACAGCCATGTTAAACACAGGCATCACTGGAGCGCAGACACAGATATATGAGAAAGAACTAGTCCCTGAAGAAAAGGAGGTGCTTGTTCAAGTGAGGTCATCTCAAGTCATGTCTTTTGACCAGTAGCTGTGAAAAATGACCCAGCGCTGATGGGAAACACTGTCAGGTGACGGTCCGGAAAGTCAAGGGCGACGTTTGGCATCAGTGCCTCCTCTGTGTTCATTTTCTCCCCTAAATGAGAATGAAGTTAAAAATGAATGAAAGGCGAGTCAGAGCTGAAGCGCTGCCATGACGGAACAGCGAGTCCCACTGTGGTGCTGCTCTGGGTGGGAGACGCTGAGTCGAGCATCACAAAAGGTGGAAAAATGGCTTCAACAGGACAGAGGCACAGCTGTTAAGTGCAACAAGGAGAAAATCATTTTTCCTCGTGGTTCAACATCCTGTCAGCACAAACAAGGACAGTGTGGGCTTTTTGTGTGTGAAATCCCCTAAACTAGAATATTTACTGCTCCAGTTTGCACACAAACAAAACCAGACTTTCCTGACAAGGTTTCCTCCATCTGAAAAAATAAATCTACTGAAATAGGTTCTGCAGATTGCAGCCTTACTTTTGATTCCTGCTCAGGGCTAGCATCCATTTCTGTTCTGGGTCGTCGCTTGTTGAAGCTTTGATCTATTCTTGCTCTCTTTTTACTAGCAAAGAAAAGTGTAAATGTTACTGTCACCAGCTGAAATGACGATGTCAGATCCAGAAAGTAACTTGGCCACGTTGTGTAGTTAACTTTGTCTGCCAGCTGGTGTTTGCACTCAGCCAAAGATTTGTTACAGAGAAAAACAACACTCTTTGACACAAATGTATAATTGTGAGAGGCCTGGTTTGTGAGTCTTCTCCTGTCAGTCACTCGGCTGATCGCGTAATGTCAGAGTCTTATTAGCAGATGTGTCAGATGAAAAAACGTCATTTGGGGAAAAACAAAATCCTGCACATTGTCACTTTACTCATTCACTTTTTTAACAATACATATTAAAATAATACTCCACTAATTTAACAGGTCAGTTAAATTAGATATGTAGCACGCCAAATCACAGCAGCAGTCCTCTTAGGGCACATAGTGAGGTCTAGACCTACAGTATGACCGAGACAAACCCTTTTAGGTCTGATTATGTAACATCTGTCCAGGGACTAGAAATGACAAATGACCTTTTGGTTAATTCTGGTGTGTTTACAGTAATGTTTATTAAAAACAGCCCGGATCTGGGTGGGTGGCCTTCTGCCTCGACCGGTTGGGGTGAGTGGATAGAGGAGAGAGAAGGAGAAAAGCATCAAGACACAACAACCACAAATAGTAACTGCTTCTTGAAACCACAGAGCTCCAGAGTCAGGGCTACAGAAAGGTACAGGGAGACAGAGAGGAGACACAGTTGGTGACGCGTAGTGGTGGCGTATAAATGGATGGAGAGAGAGAGAGAGACAGGAGAGGAGCAGAGCCCTAAAGACAGAAGAGTTGCAACACTGAGTGGCAGTGGGTCATCTGTAGGGAACAGCGGGATTTATCAGCAGTTACTATTGTGAATGACTTGTACAACCTTGCAGACTAATCTTGGTTCTGTTGTTTTAGATTTAGCTGATTTAGCTTGGTACTTTTTACAGTGACAATATTTGAGGGAGACAGTCACAAGGTTTTTTGACACCTGTCGCTACCTTAAAATGTAAAGTATAATTATTGCTACTTATTTGAACATCTTACTTTAGATGATAGCAGCCAAGTTAATGTAACTGTAAGTTAAGGAGAGGAGGGGAGCTCAGAGCATCATGGGAGGGCCCCCAGCAGCTCAGGCCTCAGGGTCACATAACCCTAACCCCATAACAAGCAACAGCAGTGTCCAAACCTATCATAAAACACACGCCCACTGATTTCATAGAATTTTTTCCATGGACAAAATGGTCGACTACAACCCGCTGGAACAGTTAAATATACTCAATACCAACGGGACGGCCATCTAAGATGGCTGGCAGTGTGATCTCTGTTAATGCCACACTCCTATAACACTGTTGGACTTGCATGGAAAAATGTATAAAAATCAGCAGAACCAGAGATATCGTATTTTCATTCCACACATTTCCCCTTCCATACCCACAATGCAACTCAACTTTTTTTTTAATTCAAATTTTAGTCTTCAGACTCGACAGGTGTTGACTCAACTGACATCACTCGAGGACACACACTGCTCCTCTGGAGACACTGAAAACTGACTTTGATGTTTAAAATTGGTGGAGTTGCCCTTTAAAGTCACTGATACTTAACGGGGGTCTGACTACAAGGGGCTGACAGTGTGCTGGGACAAAGATCTTGTTAATCTGATAGATGTGAATCTGGATCTGTAGCACTGACCGCAGGTGGCTGTTGGAGAAAAAGGTGTGCAGAGTAAGTAGTTTACTGTACTGTAGTACTGTAAATAGTTTACTGTACTGTTGTACTGTAGTACTGTAAATAGTAGGTTACACTTGTCATTCTAATGTGGCTGACGCTGTATAATCATACAAAACACAACACACCAGATCTTCAGTTATAATTCTTTTACTTCCCTTTAACTAACCTGCATCTTCTCCAGCTGTAGTAAAGTATTGTACACTTCAAGTACATAAGAGTTTTCCTTTTCAGGATGTAGCTGTGGGTTTTTAATGGATGTCACCACTGAAACGAGCTCCTGCCTCATTTGCGTGGAGTTTTTGTTAGTTTAAGAGATGGGAAGGGATTTAGCCTCAGTGAAAGTCATTAATCAGTAGCAGGTTGAGGAGCATTTGTCTGGTGAGTAACCTTGTTAGGAGTCTTAGCTGTGTTCCTCCTGTAACTGGCCTCTGCTCACTGACTGTTGGTTTTGTTGCCGTAGCTCCGCAGGTCAGCTAGCTGTGTGGACTGACACTCCTCTGCGGCCCCGCTGCTGACGAGGCGCCCCACCCCCACCCAGCAGCAGGAAACCCTGGGTACAAGGGGCTTCTCTGATAACTAAATCAAACCAACCCACTCACTCTTTGCCTCAGAATGCTCCTCTCCCCATCCTTCCCCCTTCCTCTGTTGACTGGATTTCTCTCTGGGTCACCGTAAAATTCTGGTCCATGTCTCACAGACTAAAAGGACAAAATAACTGCAGTACCCAGCAGCCTCTGTCCAGATGTGCTCTTCGTTGCTTTAATTACAGGGGCCGACCCTCTGTTGATCAGTTTTTATTGGCTCACAATGACATCCCATAATTTCATGTTGTAAAGATGGCGTTAGTTGAATTAATCTGATGTCCTGGCCACTAATCAAAGCGATGTTGAGGCGAACTTGGTGGGTGTTGTCCTTATCTGTATGTGGTGTTGACCTGTGAGTGATGGTTCCTTCATGTCCTGCCTCCAGGAAACTGCCTCTACAACCTGTCTGCATGTCGGGGGGAAATATGGGAATCGATGGTGCTGAGATCCAGGTCTGTAAAGTCAGCGAGCACTTACAAATTCTAGGCTTTAAAAAGTATTTTCCTTATACGATAAAATCTGTGTTTTTCTTTAATCATACACTTTAGCTCCACCATCAGTCTTGAATATGACCCTGGACTAATTGAGTCTTTTTGCTGCTGTAGCTTGGCGCTGATTTAATTTGTAGGTGGCACTCTGCATGCACATGTTTCAATTAAAAACACTAATTGAAAGTTAATTAGAAAATGTAAACTAAATGTCAGATTAATCCTGAGAGACTGTGACAGGCAGGCAGTAAATAGAAGCAATTTAGGGAGTGGAACAATTCAACAGTTAGTTTAATAAGTGAAAGATTAGTCACATTATTTACATGGAGGGCAGACTGCAGGTGGTGGCGGGTGCCAGACGTGGTGTGAACATCCTGCCGAAGCCCCGGTGTTCATGTCAGATGATCTTTTTACTTGTCACTGGGTCCTGCAGCGGGCTTCGGGCTGTGCTGTCATAAATCTGAAAGTTGACACCGTTCTCTAACCCTGATCTCATTTACCTTCGAGCTGCCTGTAAATCCTACTGCCACCCAAGCAAAGAGCAGCAGCTTGACCCGGCCTTGTTGCCTGTTGAAACAAGTTATTAATCAGTTGATTGACAGAAAAATCAATTGGAAAACATCAGGCATTTCTAATGGAAAATGTGCTGAATCACTGTCAATTTCATATCTTGAAGTTTAGATGACAAATATGAAGAAGCTGTCTTGGCCTCTGGGAAATTTAGTGGACATTTTCCACTATTTTCCAAAACTATGAACTATTCAGGTGATTAATTGAAAAATAATTGACAGGAATAGTCAAAAATAGAAAGCAGCTGCCTTAAACTTTGTCCAAAAATTTCCTTTTTTCCAATTAAAGTATTAAGTGTTAATGTTCATCATATTGAAGAGCAGAGTCCAGTCCAGAATTTGAAGTATGACGGCACAAGACAAATGTTTCACCCGATGTTTTCGTGAGGGCATCTTATAGCGTCACTCCACTAACCATAGCAGCATTAATGCCACTGTCAGAACCATTCCTGTGCTTTTCACTGACTTTAGTTTCTGACCAAACATATTTTGTAAGAGGGAGAAGTCTCACACCAGTTCCCAATTTCATTTGTTTCTGGGCACAAAACATAGAGTGCACCTAAAAGTTGACTCTTCCAACTCTGACAAATCATGGCATCAGCTGCAGATTTCCTGTCTGATTGGTACCTTATGTTACCCACAGTTCCCAGGGGCAGAACATGAAGGTCCTCAGTCATTGGTCTTGGGGGAGGAGAGAGACAGGACAAAGCCCGTGTCTCTCTGTGGCTCCTCCGTTTGTCTTCCACCTCTTCATCCTGTTCAGCTTTCACTACGGTCTCTACAGCGACAGACTGCTGCGCCACACGCTGCTCCTCAGCTCACATTACTGCTGATGTATCACAGGAATAAATTGGAATTTGAACACTGCAGATATTTGGAATTGGAGACAACACTGTTAGCTCCTCTCTCTGAGCAGAAGCTTTTTTTATGTCGGTGTCAGCGTTGCTGTTGGCCATGATTTAATCTCTGCTGGCTGCTGCTCATTGGAAGAGCTCCTTGAACCATAATGGCAGTGATTCCACTGTGATGGGCCATTTATCAAGTACTAATGTTTGCAACTTGGCAGGCTGAAGAACAAAGATAACGTTTCAAGTTGCAGAGAAGCGACTATTTTAGATTTCCTGGACGAGGTCTGTGATGACCTATGAGCCCTCGGTGCTGAGCTCTGCAGTGTGGTCTGCAGTCTGCCCCCCCCGTTGTTCGTCTGCTCGACTGTCCCACAGTTGGCACCCCTTAGCTGCTCCTGAGAACAATCAGCCGTCACTTTCTTTCCAGGGTGGTGTTCTCACTCTCAGATGTTTATGTTGTCATCTGCTGTCGCTCTTCTTCTGCTGTCGTTCTCCCATGGCTCTGCCTCCAGTCATGGCAGGAGTGCTCCCACAGGAACCCGGTGTGGAGAGACTGTTTCAGTCAAACATAAACATCTGACTGACCCCGCAAGAGTGAAAATACTAGCATGGCACCCCAGAAAACTGTAAGCAAGGTGTCTTTTTCTTCAAGCAGAAGGAGGCCAAGATGTCTGCACTGCTCCTTGCCTCCTCCCGGTCTCAGGCTTTCCTGAGCCAGTATTCCTGAATCCATCTAATGTGTGCTTGTTCTAAAGTGTTATTTTAAACTTAATCTGGCTTTTGGCCCCGAGTCGCTGCCATGCTCTCATTTTCGTCCTGCGTTGTAATTGATAACACACTAATATGGCAGGGGGCGAAGCCTTCAGCCACTGATCTGCATCTGGAGTGAGACTCCGGCTGGGCAGCAAGACGCATGCGCTCACGTCTACTCTGGTTCCTCCTGTCAGTGTTATGAACGATCCCGCCTTGTGCACGAGAAAGCCCCCACTCCCAGAAAATCATGGAATCTCTCAAATTTCCCCCTCCTAGCTCATTCAGTCAGATCAGTGGGTTTGCCTAATAATTTGCTGTCCAACCCTGCTGCCTGTGTGTCTGTGTGCGAGGGTGGGCGGTCAGCACGTCTCATCCTGTCCTCTCTCCAGAGGACGGCGGCCGGAACGACACTGAGGAGGAGGAGGATGTCCTGGACAGGCAGAAGTGCCGGGCTGCTCTGGCCTCACTCCGACATGCCAAGTGGTTCCAGGTGAGCACAGCGGGACTGAGGACACTAGTGCTCTGTGTGTTTACATTCTGGCCGGCAGCAGAACCTGTTCGACCAAATCGCGCTCTGTAACCTTTCATTATAAATGATCAGTTCCTTGACACAAGTGTCTCTGACTAAAATGAACATATCTGTAAAGTAACAAGATCTGCATCCCTAATCTTTGCAAAATATTATATCTCCTTTTCTTACTAAAATATTACAAGCTTAGATCTGAAGCATGATTAACATTTATGTGGTCCATGGTATGGATTCAGACACTGAGGTGATAAAAGACCTAAAGTCCTGTCTTAAGGGAGACGACGAGTCTAAAACAGGACCTTAACCACTTGGGACAAGAAATAGGTGGCAAAATGACAACCTGACTACGGAAATACAGAGCTTGACTGGCAGAATTGAATAAGCAGAGATGGGAGTGGGCAACGGAGGCCACCGAAACCCTCCGCACCTACATGGAACATCAAAGAGCACTGCAGCAAGAATTACTGGACTGAAAGTCACGACCCAGAAGGAACAATATGTGCATATTTGGAATGGCAGAGGGCGAGGGGGGAAACTTGGCAGCTGAATTTGTCAAAATAGACTGAACGAATAAATGGTCCTTCTGTGCTTTGACGGCACCTGACTGTTTATCTTGTGTGTTCATTTCCTACTATTGACATGACAGAAGTGGATGGAAATGCACATTAATTAACATTTTCTGTTGCTGATTTTTCTGAAATTCTATAATGATTTGTGGAACATTAGGATGGAAACTTGCCTAGTGAGTCCAACAGTGGAGTAACACACATTGTCAGCATTACATTATGTGTGGAGACATGAAAACCACATTCCTTTGCAATAGCGAGTGTAACACACATATCTGAAGAGGTGTCATGAATTGAGATAACATAACATAACACCTCTAGATATAATGAATAGACAGCAGGTGCCTGTACAGGAAGAATATGACGGTGGGATGTAACTGGAGGGTCTGAGGTTATGACAAGATTCTTCTCAGAGTCAGGTTTCAGCCGTCCTGAGTGATCTGAGGAGGGAGACGAGAGTCAAGGTCAGGTGAAGCGGGGAGCAGCTTCCCTCAGGGAACGAGAGCGAAATGAGCAGTAGCATCATAGTGAAGTGCTGCACTGTGGCCTGCAGGCGAAGCAGCACAAGGAGGATTTCATTTTCTTCAGACAGGGCTAATGCGACCCTGGGACCTCCACTGATTTGTAATTGCTGACACAATTAGTGATGTTCGTCTGCAAGTTTGAAACCTGAATTAAATTACCAACTTTGTTTTGTGAATAGTCATCCTGTGCAAATTGAAATGTCACTGATCTCCAGTATAATTAGTTTTTTATGTTAATGTCATTATTCTTTAGGTCGTACAGTTCTTCAGACTCTTCCTTTTAGCTTTGGTACAACCTCGAGAGGAGGGTGGAAAGATTTTAACAGGGTTTTATTCCGCTCACATTATTCTCCTTAAATGCAGAGGTCACACAAGGTCAACCGTATGATACAAGCAGGTGACAAGTGAAAGGACGACCCAGTACACAGAGTCCCAGTGAGGCGCTGGGCCACCACATGCACCAGAACAGCTCCACCTTGGCAATGACTCTCCAGGTCTCTGAGCTCTCCTGGAGGGATGAACACTGTTCTTCCAGCAGATGTTCCCTCATGTGGGGTTTTGGTGACGGTGTCTACCACGTCGCTCCAACATCTCCCATAGCTGTTCAACAGGGCTGAGACCTGGTGACTGGGAAGGCCACAGCATCTGGTTCACATCATGGTCATCCTCATCAGACCAGTCGGTGACCCCTCGTGCACTGGATCCTGGAGGAGACCGCTCAGTTCTTTAGGTTCTTCCTTTAGTGTCACTGTCATGACATTAAAAATCACTAGTTTCGGTGCATGAAGGACTAATAAAATGTTTTGTTTCTGTCGTGCAGCAAAAATGAAATGCCAGATAATGAGGAGGCAACTACTACTGTAAAAACTGCCAAACATTTCTGTTGTAACATTTTAAAATATAAAAACTCCCATGACAACATTGGTAAACACACAACCAGTGTGGTCTGTAAGTTATGTTTATAATACCAGCTCACACAGGGACTTGTAGATTAGCTGGCTGCAGACAGTGGTATGGTTATGCCCCTCAGAGCCCAAACTTTGTGTCAAAGAACTGAACATTATCAAATTAAGTATCACAATGGTATTAGAAGCATACTGAAATTTCATGGGACATGGAAATGCCTCTTGAAGCGCTGGAGATCTCTTATCTTCGAGCTGTGAATGTGCCTGGGGTTCATATTTTGGAATTTGTGCTGCTCAGCCTTGAATGTTGTCTTGTTGAAATGCTCCTCATGCTGTCGGTAAGTTTTGTCTATCTGTCCCCTCAGGCCAGAGTCACAAATCTCAAGTCCTGCGTCATCGTCCTGAGGATCCTAAGAGACATGTGCAACAGAGTGCCGGCGTGGCAGCCTCTGAAAGGATGGGTAGGTGGCGGCCAGAGTCAGAATGGCTCTTTGTACATAGAAGATGTGAGATGGTGTACTCGCAGACAGAATGGAAAACAGAAATGTTAAAGGCTTATGTCCTGGGCTTTAAACCCAGAATCACGACTGTAACTGCCTCAGTTTAAGCTGTTCTGTGTCCTCCCTGTGTCTGCAGCCTCTGGAGCTGATCTGTGAAAAGGCCATAGCCACCTGTACCCGGCCTCTGGGTCCAGGTGAGGCCCTGCGTCGAGTCACAGAGTGCATCGCCTCTGGGATTCTCCTGCCAGGTCAGTGGCCAGCGCTTCACAGCAGCCTCCAGGCTGTGCTTGCATTTGCCCCTCTCTGCTATATGCTCCAGGCTACAGATTATCCAGTTTAACACTTTACCAACCATGAGGTTGTTAAATTTGTGTTCAGTAGAAGGTGAACTGTCAAGTGAACTTGAGAGGCGACATACAGAACCTGTGGAAGGACACCGATAGAAACAAATGTGTGCCAAAATCACCAAAGCAAAATAAAGATTTGTTTTCTCCAGGTAAAGGTTTTTCAAGTTAAGCATAAACATTTTGTTCACCTCAAGTTGTAGACTGCCCTTCAGTAATGTGCCTACAAGACAGAGGCTGTAGAAACGCTAGTCAGGTTGTTGACTGGCTGACCTCAGAGGAGTACTGGTGAACTGCCAGATGGATCGAGAAGGGGAGGCACAGCTTTGCAGGAGCTGGGTGCCACAAAGGAAACTCCTGTAGCTGTAGAACTGATGTGGGCTCTGTCCTGACAGTGGAACTGGTCTGCATGAACGAAGGGTGTCTGCTGCTACAAGCTGTCCAGATGTGGTGCCAGATGTGGTGCAGTCAGATTTGGATCTTGGTCTGTACTCTGTGTGAAGCTGGGCTGGACTCTTTGCCTCCGAATCTGACTGTGATGCTCAAGGACAGAATCTGTCGGCATAGCAAACTCTTTCTGTTGATGAAGTAGTTCTCACCTCGCTTGACCGTGACCTCCAGCGCTCACTGGAGAGGTTTGCAGCCAAATATAAAAGACCTCCGTGTCTGAGATCATGGTGCTTGTGATTCTCCTGCCTGGTTGTATCTCAGTGTGTTTTCATACAGTAAGTGAGCAGCCAGCAATCTGTGGATCATGGTGGTGTTTTACAGTCATGGTGGAGAAGATGAAGCTCTCAGTTTAACAGTTGGTCTGTGATCTAACATCTTCTATAGTCATGTGTGCAGTGTGGTGACCGCATGAATGAGACTGTTTACAAGAGGCTAAAATTAAATGGGAGCCTCTCTGTGGACGTCCACCTCGTAGGAGAGTCTGGGCCAAGCCAGAACACTGTGAATGGATTCAGTCTCACGATCTCCCAGGAGATGATGCAGAGGAAGTCACTCCACTGCAACACAAGCAAATGGAGATACGACTATTATTCACTGACACAATGTTTGAAGTCTGTCCTTGTGAGAAAAGGACGTTTGCACTCAGTGTAGTGCTGATGTGGCACACTAACAGGGTTCACATGTAGGCCCTTTACTTTTAAACTGTTTTAATCCTGCAGGCGATGAAATTCCTTGTGACAGAACTTAATCTGTGTGAGGCGTCAGTGGTAAGAGTCACCATAACAAATGGATCCGGTGATCAGACTCTGCTCAGGGAGCAGCAAAATGACATTACCAAGTTCGACACTGAAAGTAAAACCAGCGAGGACCCTTGAAGGACCACCAAAGATATATAATTTAATCTGAATGGAATTGTGGCTTGTGTGTCTGTTGTATCTATTTAAATTGCTGATCTGATGTTTGTGAGATTGGCTGATTGATCAGTGCATCTATTAATAACTGCATCTTTACTGCAATGGCACATTTCCAAGGGGTCATGAAAGATGTGCCTCAGGTGGAGTCGGTCACTGCAAAAATCTTAAACTTGTTCATTGTTTGGTCCAGACAGAGATAAATGATCCATTATCAGATGAATGTACATGATTGTTGGTTCAGACGTTGATTCCCAGACGACCAGTCCTGCCGTTGATCCTCCTCCTTTTCCTCTTAACGACAAATCTTGGGTGGATGTCGTGAAAATTGATTCAGACGTTCATGTTCCCCTCCAGATGAACTGTAAAAACTTTAATGATCCTCTGACTCTTCATCTAGCGCCATCATCAGATCAGACCTGTCCATTACTTAACGGTTCTCACAGTGTACCTGCAGAGTCAGTCTCAGATGTAGCATGTTAACACACTGAACTAAGCTGCTGAACATGGATAAAAACTGCTATAGGTTCTGCCTGACCTCCGGCTCCTGATGCCTGGCAGCAAATTAAAAGCAGAAATGTAAAAGAAACAGTAGCCTAGGGACTGAAAACACAGTTTTAAAGTTGGGAAGCTAGTAACTAAGAGGCTAACATACACAGAAACAGCTTTTTATAATCCGTAGAAACATTTAGCAGAATCGGTGACGGCTGTGTTTTAGTGTAACCCTGGTGTTTGGCTGTAACCTCGTTACACACAGGGCGTCCTGAAGGTTCATGAGCGGGTAATGGAAAATGTAAGCGTGATCATTTTAAACCTCTGGAGTGGTTCTGTACATTGCTGTGTATAGATGAACTTGTCTTGTAGTGTTTTCTGTTACTGTTTGTGGACACACTGAGCAGTGTGTGTGTGACTGTAACCAAGTGTCATGTGTTAGCTCAGACTGCTGAATAATTCTTATGATAATTAGCAGTTGGTCTTTGTTAACCACACGAGTGGGTGTAGAACAAGCCAAACGTTTGTCTCATGGTATGTGTGATGCTGTGGGTTTCTGTGTCACTCTGGAGTTCACTGAGATCATTTATGGCTGCCGTTTCCCCCACTGATCAGCGTACAGAGGAGCTTTATTTAATATTTATACATGCAGGATAGTGCTGTGTCCACAGTAAGTCTGCACCATATCATAGTGTCAATGATGTACCGGTAAAATCCCAGATGAGAACTGTCATCTCGCGATAATGATGCTTGGATTTTCGCCAACGTGGCGTGTCACAGATATGTGAGGAAATGAGAAAAGGAGCTTCCACCACCATTTGGAAATGCTTCAGATGTCAATCAAACATTTGAGCTTCACAAGTTGTCTGAAACCCGTACAAAGAGTGGAAACGCATCAGATTTGTTCTGGCACCTCGTGCAAAAACACCAGGCAGAGCACGAGGAAGCGTTGGTCCAACAACATGGAAAGTACTGTCACAGCTGCTACAACTGTGTTGATGTTGAACTGTGGCATAAATACACCACCAAATAGTACTACAGTATTTTCCATTTGTCATTATCTCAAAAATATAATTTAATATGATGAACTAGTTTTTAGTAGGTCTGTACCTGACTGAGGATTTTGTCAGATGGCTCTTCAGTGCGACTATTTGTTCTTTTTCTTTCTGTTTTCAACGTGCACAGCCTGGTCTGTCAGTAAATCAAGTGGCCTGAATTTCAGTGATGACTTCAACCATATTAACATCAGTATTTAAGTGGCAAAGACTGACAGAAACACATTTCTGAGCATCTAAAAATCTAAACAGCTGCATATGATGTTACACTGCGACCTATTTAAATTGATGATATCTAACATCGGACTGCCACATGGATTTCTCGGAATAACGAGACAGGCAGCTCACTTGTGTTTTCCTTTGAAACTGTGCTCTTATAGGCAGGTTTTCTCTTCTGCAGCCGAGTTTACCAACAGGTTTGAGCTGCTCCTGTGTGTTTGGTGCGGTTATTTATAATTCCCCATGTATTTTTATTAGCTTCCTAGTCACGTTCCAATGGATGCATGTTGCAGAAAAGGCTGTGTTGCACTTTCATGGAGATGGGTAAACATGGTCTAGTTAAGAAGTACTTTAGTTTCATTCAGAAAGAGTTGGTGCAGTAACAGAACACAGTATATTGTTGCTGTCTGTGTTATGTGAACAGGCAGGTTTATTGACAGCAGCCCTTCTGAAAAATGTTCCTATTCAGCTCAAATAACTTGATTTTCCCAGATTTTTTTTCCCCTCCTCTCTTTTCCTAATCCGTGATGTGGGAAACCTTTGGCTCCCACGGTTGATCAGAGCAGAGTGGTGATGTGACTGGGTTTTTACTCTGAATGCCCTGAATCACTGATGAGTCACTGCTGTGTTCAGTGTCCACAGGAAGAGTCAGTAAATTACTTTCAAGGCTGTTTTTCTGTCAAGTGAAATAAAGCAGGGCTCAGCATGTACGTTGCTGTGTGAGTCTGAACCCGATGTGGAAACACTGACCTGGTTTTTCTTCACAGGAGGCCCAGGAATTCATGACCCTTGTGAGAGGGAGCCTACAGACGTCCTGTGTGACCTCAGCGCCCAGCAGGCCGATGCCATCACACTCAGCGCACAGGTCAGTCCACCTGCAGAGCAGCAAAGAGTGTTTCTAGGTAAAATCTTGAGCCAGATTCAGCATTTCTTTCTGACAGTATACAGTTGTTCTCCATCACAGTAAGGCTACAGCGAATGATTCTTTCCGTTTTCAGTTAATATAACAATTATTTTGTTGTTTTGTTTTGTTTGACCAAAGATATTTAATTCACTGTCATGTTGAATGAGAATGTCGTGGCACAAATTCTCTTTTCGTAGGACTGTATTCTTGCACTTGTCTCCCACTGGAGGAGTTGAAGGTTTAATGTCTTGTTCAAAGGCACGTATGATAGGAGCAGTTCCCACCCACATGATCCTGTCTGCTCCAGGGCTCTGAACCTGAAACACCTTCATCAACAGGTCCCCGTCTCTCACCTCTGGGCCACAGCAGCCCAGGCTTCAAAAAGCTAATGAAGTCTGTCAACGTGACATGAAATTCATCAAGTCTGGGGAGAACAAAAACATAACTGTTTTACTGAACAGCAAAAACAAAGCACACATTCAGCCTGTGTGGAAGTTCTTTGAGATTTCTTGTGTGATTTGAGATTTAAAGATAATCATAGTCTGAAATAAGTGTAGTTTAGAAGCAGAGTTCCTCCCTGAAGACGAATCAACCACATTTTAGATGTACTTTTTACTTAGCTTGCATGATAATAAGTCTTCCATTACAGTACAGACATTTGCCTCAGAGCATTATAAACTTCCTGTTTCCTGCAATAAAACCACACGCTTACTGATCAGAGCATAATCATTATCTGGCTTGGAGCTGTGCGACTTGTGAGGCCTTGAAACATGCCACTGGGGAGTCTTTCCACCCTGCCCACTGCACCAAAGTCAGCATTTCTTCCAGGAAATCACACGAGTAACGCTCCCTCCTGTTGCACTGGCTGAAGGAGGGTTATTTAAATTGAGTCCTCGGCTGCCACGGCGAAGCCCCATCAGCACTATAAATAGCAGAGCGACTGCAGAAGCCCGGCCTCTGACCTCAGATAAGCAGCCCCTGGCTGCTGCGGAGACTTGATGGACTGACAGCCTAATTAGCCACATAATGAGTGTGGGAACACGCCTCCGCCGTTTGCACCCACGCCAACACTACTACTAGCACCAGTGCTGTTGCTAATGCTGCCACTGCTACCGCTTTACAGCACAACAAAGTATGACCCCGGGCGGAAAATGTGGATTCAGCTGTGAAATATGAAGGATTCATCTTTTCCGCTCGCACTCTCTCTGTGCCTCTGCCTTTGTTCTGCTCTCTGGGGCTGGATGAAGGATGCCTGAAATGGAAGTCTGGGAATATTTTCTTCTTTTCCTTTTCCTCCCTCATTTGTGCAGTCTGACTGTTGTTTCCTCCCCTCTATAGTGGATGACGTTTCTCCCAGTAGGATTAGTTGGTTTACACAAACATGGGGCTGCTCACACACGTTTCCCTGATAATTAAAGCGTATTGATCAGAGAATAAATTGTTTTGTTGCCGTTTGTTAATTTCCCTGCTGTCCTGTCAGAGCAGAGGGGTCCTTCTGATGCTTCACCAGGCCAATGATGTGCTCTGGGGTGTGTGTGTGTCTTTCAGCATGCGTTACGCCTCCTAGCCTTTGGACAGCTCTACAAGGTCCTGAATATGGATCCTCTCCCTGCCAGCAAACCCTCACCAAGGCTGGTAGAAGGTGCGTCTGTGTTTATCTTCACGTTTGGATTCCTATTTTAATCTCCCCACTACTGTATTTTCTCCTCTTCTTGTTTCACTTCCTCTCTGTAAAGCAGCGTCTATACTCCTCTGTATTGTAATAATAGTAATAAGAGTATGTTTAGAGGACGTGCGTCTTCTCTCTGTGTGGGATGTGTCATGCTGTAGGTGATCGCTCTGTTTCCACCCTGCAGGCTGTCAAAAGAGGCTTCGGGAGGATGTGGGATCAGATGACAGAGACTTCATCAAGAGGATGAAAGGTGACTTTCACCCTCAGCTTGCTTTGGAGGAACTGTATTTCACTTGGGCCCAGTTCTCTTCCTCTCACCTTAGAAATCTAAAAAAACTAATGCCTAAACACACATTGCTACATTCAAAAAGTGACTATACGTGCTGCAAAGTTACAGATACGCTCACGTTTTTAAACACGCCGCTCTTCACAGCCTGTCGTGACTCAGGATGGTGAGCTGGCTGTGGCTAACCATGAATGTGTTATTAGAGCGGGATATGGCTCGCCACTCAGATCCCCTCAAATTTCCCCAGCAGCCACTCGAGGTACTGCAACGAAAATCCTCATGAGGCCTAAAAAGCATTTTCTCATTAGACTACACTGATAAAAGAGACGTCTGTTAAACTGTTGACAGGTGCCAACTATAAGAGTTATCACTCTTTCTATTATGAGTCTTTAATCCATGGAGGTTTTACATTTGTAAAGCTTTCCCAGGGCCTGGAAGACCTCGTTTTATTTTAATGACATCAGCCCAGTGTAACTTGGGAACAAACGCATGCGTGGCAAGGATGATAATAATAATAATAATAATAATAATACTTTATTTGTATAGCACTTTACAACTGCCGGGGAGCCCAAAGTGCTTCACAGAAAAACATATATTAAAAATATAGAACCAGCTACATAAACAATAAAACCAAGAGCAAAGATAAAAACACACAATATAATATCAAACGCTAATGGGAGACTTCCATATCAAAGCATAAATGTAAGACAACAGACTAAAAGCCATTGACATGATGCCACTGGAGCCCATTAGACACAGAAAACCAGTCTAAAGAGATGAGTTTTTAGTTTAGACTTAAAAGACGACAGCTCAGTTATGGACCGTAACTCCGGCGGTAAGGAGTTCCAGAGCCTGGGGCCGTAAACGGCAAACGAACGATCACCCCATTTTTGTCCGCGGGACAACCAAGGACAGGTGCTCTGAGGAGCGTGGAGCCCTAAGCGGAGTACGAATGGACAACAGGTCAGACAGGTGCGGTGGAGCAAGGCCATTAGTAGACTTAGATGCAAATAATAATACCTTGAAATCAACTCTGAACTGCACTGGCAACCACTGTAGCAAGTGAAGGACCGGGGTGATGGATCACGCTCTCGGATCAAAAGTAGCACGTGCGCCCTCAAACATTTTGGCGGGGACATGCTTCCATATGTTTCCAGTATAAATATTTCAATAAAACGGCTACAGTGTACATGGTCTTTAGTGAATGTGTATAGAATGAAGGATTACCCTGGTCTGGCCCTGGAATTATGAACAATAACTTGGTTTATTTAGACTCTGTGTCTGTCTGTATCTCAGTTTGTGTCCGTTAATGCTTCTTAAGATGCTGCCACCATGATGAGATTTAAAAAGCTATTAGTTGTGTAATATTAATGTCAAAATATGAAAGAGTACAAAATATGGGCTGTCAGCCTTTAGAGGCCTGTATTGGTTGAACCCACGTCATGTGAGGAGAAAACTAAGCAGGTGTTTGTCTCTTTACAGCAGAGGAGTGGATAAAGAGGAATTTGTCACTCAGTTGTATCTAGTGACAGACAAAAGGCTGTGGTGTGTTTTGTGTGTTTGTGTGCTGACAGCTGTAAACTACAGTTAACTTCAAACACTGTGCTTTCTGACAGGCTCTGTGTAAAAGGTGTAAAAGCGAGTCAGTGGAGCTGAAAGGAATGAGCAGCGAGGCAGAGGTTTTCTTAGAAATCACAGCGCTCTGGTACATGGAGAATGAAAACGGCCTGTCAGGTTAAAAAATGGCAACTTGCTGTCAGACAGTTTCACTTCAATCCCTGTATCAAAGACAGAAAATACCCCGACCTTTCCTGAATATGATTTATTGTAGGTTAGTGTTTGAAATTCAGTCGGCACGTCTGATATCCTGACAAGATCGTATTAGGAATCCAGTTTAGTGCAGTGGATTGTGTTGCCAGCTCAACCTTCACTTTATCTGAAAGAGGCATCACATCACCGAGCTGCAAAAACGGGTCAAAGAGAAGTTAAAATTCTTCAAGGAGCTGTCAGGGCAAAGGCTTTTAAGTCAGATTTTTCCTTGAAGCAGCAAATTGTGTGGCATTATCAGATTCCAGGAATCAGTCTGCTCCTGTGTTTAGGTAAGAAAAGGTCTGAGTCCAGGTCTTCATGTCAGTGGGATTTAAAACTAGGACGGTGCAAACAGCAAACTGGCCACCGGTGTTTCTTCACCATCCAGGTCTTCATGAGGACACAAATTCAGGCCGGTAGATACAAAACCAGATAAAGAACTGTTTTTCTTAAATAAGAAGTTAATGCAATTGAGACAAATACTGCATGAGGTTAAAGAGATGTGCAGGTGTTAACAAACAAACAGGAGGTTTGTAAGCTAGTTGTGTGGTAACTGAAGGTAGTTGTATGATCGTTATGTGACTGACTGTGAGAGTGGTGCCAAGGACAGAGGGGGAACCTGAGCTGATGGATGTAGAGAAAGGCTCATGTTTAAAATACCGATGGGTCAAAACGGGCCATAATACCAGCTCTTTAATCAAATGAAATAATGCTAGCTATGTTGTTACTTCATGAACTGCTACTTCCACAGTAATACTGCGCATAATGTGGAGCAAGGCAGAGGGGTGTGTGTGTGTGTGTGTGTGTGTATGTGTATGTGTGTGTGTGTGTGTGTGTGTTGGATTGCTGGTAAAATATGTGGGGAAAAAAAGCTACATTATTTTAGACACTTCAGCTTCAGTAGCACTTCAGCGTTGCTCGGTTCCATTTGGCAGGTCCTGCCACATTCTAAAGTGCAGCTATTGATGTTGAAACATTGCCTGTACGTCACTTTGATGTCTAGAAAACTGTCACTTCCACTTCTCTCCTGCATACTGCACATCGGCATCTTTTTCTCTACTAATCAGCAAAACCGGGCTCGCTGAGTGCCCTTACAGTTCAGCCGTCATCAGCTGATTATGAATCAAATCTTGCCTGTTGCTGCACTAGAGATACACCAGTGTCACTCATCAGCTGCGTCTCTCTAGTTGAGGCCTAATTGGCCAACCTCTCATTAGATTTTCATTTCATCTGTAACGTGGAAGCTTTCAGCATGCATTTGGCTCTTCTCCAGGGCTGCATGTTGACTGGCAATAGAGTAGGTTTTTATGCCATAGTACTGGACAGAGGAACAGGAATAGGCAGCACCGGATGCTGCTGACCATCAGTATGATGCATAGCTGCAGAATGTAGCAGTGCAGCACCCTTCAATCAGGCATTTGAGGTGGCCTGTGTCTGTACTACTGAAAGATTTTTATACTTTTTTTTATCAGTCATGTAACACCCCTTTTTAATAACTGTGAGCAGCACAGGCCTTCAACATACTTCATGCAAGTATACAGATGTACAATATAGTACACTGACTCAACGCTACCACTAGCTGACTTGGCTAAACTGTGCTAACAGACCCGGTATCGTAATGAAGTTAAGGATAAACTCACTATGACAGCATCTCTGAGGGTCTTATTAGTGTCAGTCCTTAACCACAGCCACAGCAGAACTGTCTGTCTGCAAAACTGAGGTTTATTATAGAAACAGAAGCTGTGAAAGTCCAACTCAGTCAAGTCTAAAAGCTGGAGAGAGGAGCCGCCTGTCAGTCACAGCTGTCAATCATCAAAGCTGCTATAAGCTCAAAAATCTTATTCATGGAGCAACAACTGACAACATCAGTACCACCAGTACCGGTTTTAGAGGCCTGAATCAATCAGTCAAGACCATAATATCTTCTGGAACCAAGTATTTGCAGAGAAATGTTTGAAGCCTTTTGAATTAGGATTTTTTTTTTAGAGCCAACATCTGGCGGCTGTCAGTGACACTGACATTTAAGAAACCTCACCACTGACTTCAGCCTCCAGCTGTGTTCACATCTGCTCAGATTAATGGTAGAAAATGAACCATAGTTCAATTAAACTGGACCAAACAACACAAGTTTGAAATTTCCCTAAAAGACACTCAGCAGTTCTTCCACTGACAGCTGCTACCTCCCTCTCCCTCTGTCCTTCTGTTGGTGTCGCAGTAATTAAATTGGCCCTCACTGGGACGACCGTCTCTGGCAACCCTCATCTGCTCCCAGTTCAGAGGTGGTGACAGGAGCCAGAGATAGAGAGGGATTAATACTGCAGGCTGGTGCCACACTATTATCTCAGCACCTCCCACCACTCAGTCACACACACACATCGGTGTATGGGCATGCACACTCACCACATACACACAGTGCATTAACACCTCCTCCTCTCTTTCTCCCAGCACCTGTCCATCAGCACCTTCACATTACACGGCGGCTCCATCCATATTCATAGTGAACCACACGTCAGTCTTAAGTGGCTGTCAGAGCGTCACAGTCATTATACACAGCGACTGCAGGACAAGACGAGTATGTGTCGAAGCTGCTGTGCACTTCACAAGCAAGAGGTGTTCTCCCAGTGATGCCTGTTTAAACTACCATATGGAAATTAGCTCAGTATTTCCAGTATCGCTTTAAAGCTGTGCTACCTAATTTCAAAATAAAATCCTATTAATTCAAAGGTAAAATCCTGACCATGTTAGGTGGCTAATTCTACCAAAACAAACAGGTTAGCTTTAGATGCTAACACATCCAGAAGGAAGAAGGCCAAATCTGGATCCAGTCTGAGTCCTCTGGCTGCCTTTAACCCTCTCCATGTCAAACAGCCAAACCCATGTTAACCCTGGTTGTTGCTCTTTCTTTGTCCCACTCTCTCTGTGCTAAAGACGCCACCTCTTCACTCTG